TCAAGGGGGTTGTCATGAGGCAGGACTTGAGGCTTCACTAAAAATCTGTGGAGTGGGGAAGTCAGGAAGAGGGCAGGGCTGTTGTTACTGCACAGTCGGCAATAATGAAAACTATTATCAAGGCCTTGTCCCCAGTGGCTCCATCAAGTGCCACAAACCCCAGGAAACCTAGAGACACTTAAACCTGAGGTTTGGAGCATGGGATCCTTCCTGCAACTTCACTGCTAGAGATGCCTTCAGTGCTAGAGGAACACTTAACCTCTTCTTCACACCATTTGGCACAAGCTTCACCCTCCTTTGCCTGGACTATTGCAGTAACCTGTGAACAGGTCTCAGCATGCCTGTGCAGCTCACGCTCTACACCGCCACGGCGATCCCCTCCAACACACACCCATCGGAACGTGCCACCATGCCTCAGCGGGGCTCCCCCGTGCCCACAGGGCCAAATCCAAGCCCTTCAGCTTGGCCTTCAGCCCCCATGTCCTGGGCCAGCTTGCCTCCCCATCCCACTGCCATTACTCCACGTCCCCCGTCGTCTTCTCCAGCTCAGCCACGCTCCTGTTCTCCCAGCCTTTGCACATGCAGTTCCCTCTGCTGAGAAGGCCCTCCTGCCGCCTCTCTGCCTGGTGAATTCCTACTCGCCTTTCCATCTTGTCTCATCCACCCCATGGGTGAGCATTGTTTTCCTGTCTGTCTGCCCTCTGAGCTCAAGGGCATGGCTATGACTTCTGTGCCTTTTCTTCCTGCTGTCTGGCACTTGGGGATAGGGTGCGGCTTGGGTCTATGTTTGGTGAATGAGTGAATGAGCGCTAGCCAAGTCCGTACAGACACCAGGCCCAAATAGCAGAGTGGGGCGGTGCGGCCCAGATAGCTGCCACCCATGAGGACACCCACGAGGCCACACCGTTTCCAGCGGTCAGCATGGGCACAAAGGAAGGGCGACTCCAGAAAGTTGGCTCCAGGGCTGCTCTCCTCCCCTCTGCCTGGGGGCTTCCTCCTAGCCAGGCTCAGGGCAGGCTCTCTCTGCGGGTGAATATAAATATATAAAACAAACAGCACGCGTTTAGCTGCAAAACTAAAAATAGGAAGCTTGGAATCCGGCTCCCCAGGCTCCTCTAGCTGCTGGACCACACAGGTGTGGGTGCGAATGTTGGGATACAGCCCCTCACGCCCTCTCAGCTTCCCAGCCCTCGTGGGGAGGTTTGGGGGGCAATCTGGGTTTCCGAAAGGAACAGTTCATTCTTTCATTCTGGCTCCCCCTACCTCCATCCGTTTGACAGCTCATTTCATTTATGACCCCAAAATGAACCGACTCACTGAGGTACATTCGCTGCTCACATGGCCAAGTTGGGTGTCTGGTGAGGCTGAGAGCAGCCCCCTGGGTCATGCTGGTGGTGGTGGGGGGGCTGGGTGGCTGTGTTTATGGGGTGCAGTCTGGGGCAAGGGAGGAGTGAGGCAGGTCTGGGCCTGCGCCAACTTGGTCCTTCCCCGTAACACTGGTGCTGGCCCCACACTGGGGCAGCCCTCACGGCCCTCACAGTTTTCCCCTTGGGCACATGCCATTATCACAGGCCTGTAAAACCCTGCCGGAAGTCCATTTCTCAGAACAAAAGCCAAAGCCATCCCCATGGCCAGAAGTTCAGGAGCTGCAAGGCTGTCTGGGGGCCACTTCCCCCAGTGCCACGCACAGCCCAGTGCCTAGGAGGCCCCCTCTGGGAGCCCCAAGGCTTGTACCGACTCTCTCAGCCTATCTCTGGCCAGCCACGGACTGTGGAGGCTAGGATGGGGCTGGAGAAACTGCAGGCACTCACTACCCAAACGCGAGCAACTCCTAGAGCCTTTGAAATAGAATTCTGGGGTCCAAGGGTTCCCACACTCTGGAACAAGATGGCCTCCTCACCCTGGACCGGCTGCTTCATATCCTAAGCTCCTGCGGGTGGCTCAGTGTGGGAGGCAGGGCCAGGGCTCCAGGAAGCTGGGGTTGCTAGACTAGGGACCTTACCTTCAAGCTGAGTAAACCCTTGTCCCAAAGCAAGGACTTTAGGGATCATGGGACCTCTGATTCTAAAACATATCTGGCACACAGTAGATGACTATGTAAGATTTGAATAAAAAGGAGGCTCAGGGAGGGACAGGGACATCCCCCAGCCACATAGCTCAAGGAAAAGCCTTCTTCCACATCAAGACATTTCCCCAGCCCTTCCAGGATGAACCTCCTGAGATTAGGAAGTTTTTTCTAACACTTAACCTGAATTCTGTCTGCAATTGAGGCAGCCCCTTCCGGCCCTTCTCTGGAGGGGAATGTCCACTCTCGCCTCACCTGCTGCCACCTGCAGGCCGCTGTGGTTACTGCAGTTCTTCCCACCATAGCCCTCAAACTGTGTGCGATCTCCAGCGAGTCCTGGGCTTCTCAGGGCCTCAGTGTTCCTCTGGAGAAGCTGGGTGCGCTGGCCTGTGCCTGGTGGGGTGAAGGTGATGGAGCTTTGAGTCAGGGGCTCTGGAGGCCACAATGCCTCTCCCATCAGCTCTGGCACCAAAGAGGGGCTTGAACTGTGGCCCCCCTCGTAAGCTCCATCATTCCTACAAAGTGACCCCCAATAAGCACAGATATAGAAGAAGAGTGTTGGCCTGTAGACACTGGCCTGTAAACCAGCCCTGCTCACCTAGGCAGATGCCACTCAGAGCACACCCAAAAAGAAATTCTGCAGCTGTGGCTAGAATCCTGCTCCGAGAAGAACCCTGCTGCCCCCTTGGGCAGAGGGGGTGCTGGGGGTGGGGAAGGGGTGAGGTTAGCCTGGGGAAATGCAGCTTCCTGTTGGGTGTTGGGTTTCAGGCAGACCAACCTAACTGAACAGGGCAAAGTCTTAGGATTAGCTTTTGAAGTGGGTACTTTCACTTGAAAATAAGGTCTGTTTTATGAAAATTCCCCTCCACAAGTCCCAACTAGACAGGCCGGGTGGGCCAGACCTCCTTGCTGGCAGGGTAGGGAGCAGGGCTGCTAAGACAGGTCCCCACACCATCACACCCACAGCTCCCAGCACCAGGCTGAGGTCCTAGCTCAGCCACAAACAACTCTTGGGAGATGTGAAGTCGGATGACACCTTCTCTTTGCACCTGAGATGCTTCATCTGCAAAATGGGGGACCGGACATAGCTGCTAACTTGCCATCGTTCCAGCAAACACAGGTCCCTGAGGGGGCTTTCACCACGGCTGCTTTATGCTCCACCTGCCTCTGTCTGCCACCTCCCCAACGCTGAGTCTGGGAACATACTGGAAGAGGTGCACAGCTACTGCTGTTTACTCGTAAAAAATCACAGGCTACTTGTGAGGGAAGGGTGGGGGGGTGGTGGCACCTTGAAGACCTGACATTCTTCTGGGGTCCCAGGTGCACCAGGAGGAGGCCTCCCGGGTTCCACTTGCCCAGGGTGGTTTCTGGGGCCATTTCTGATGGAGCCAATGCAAAGAGGCCAAGGCGTTGGCTGTGTTACCGGCCAACCAAGCAGCTCCCCCACCGCTGAGACATTTTTAAGTTTTCTTTCCTATAGAAATGTTAAGTCTCCTCCCTAGTTTCTCAATTTCTTAGCTCCTAGCTTTGATTACTCTTCTCATCAGTCTGTGACTCCTAGGCTAAAGATTGCTCCTAGCCTGAATCCTAGAATTCTCCTATCACCCTGCTTCTTAACTGCTTTGTAAATCAGTTTCTTAATCCTAAACTATAGAAGTCTCCTACCCCTGCTTCAGATAACTACTTGAAAGCCTGTGACTTCCTAATATCCCCCAGGCCGGTAAGCTAAATGCCAAACCCATTCTGGGCCCAGAAAACTGACACCACCTGAATGACAGGTTGAATGTCCACAGGTTTCATGACAGCTAACAGACTTATTAATTAAAACCTATTTATCCTCATTCAGGGAACTTGGGGATACAGAGGACACCCCAACAAGATGGCCAGTCACAACCAAAGAAGCCAACACGGTCTCCCAGGTGGAGTTCGAGACCCCTTCCTCTCATCTGAGATCAGCTAGGGTGAGAGTTCCGTGAATCCCCCAATAGGCAGGGACAGCTCTCCACCCCTGCCCAGCAGGAAGCAGATACAGAAGAAGAGACCTCCTGTCTGTCCCTCAGCTCCCCATAGAGATTTTATGGGGATCACATCTCTCAATGGGAAAACAAGACAGGCAGTTAGAGGCAGGCATTGAGTCTCTGCATTCCTGCACGTTCCACAGAGTGCGACCACCAAGGGGACACCCCTCTACACCAAAAACTCCCCTTTGTATTGTAATTACCTACCCTTGCGGGGAAACAAATGGGCACAAAATACCCAACTAGATCAGACCAGTCACTCACACTTGCGCAGTACCGCTTGTCAATCACAGGTGCCAATCAAGTGGTCCCACCCCCAAAGCGGAACAGCCCATTCTAGAGAAAGTTGATAAAAACTCCAAGTCCTGGGAAGTCCGCCCTGATCTTTTTGACCACTTCTTCCATTTTTGAACCCCTTCCTCCCTTTTTTTGAGCCTTTTGAGCCTCACCTTTGCGCTTGAAATGTAACTTCGCTTCTAATAATGGGCCCGTGAGCTATTCTCTACTGCTCAGGCCCACTTCTACTTCTTTGAAATGTACTATCTCTTCGAATAAACTACTTTTTCAGTACTTGACACCGGCATCTCATTCAATTCTTTGCTCGAGTTGCCAAGGACCTGGACTTTGCGCAGAGAAGGCCCACTCTCCGACCACAGCTGGGGTCTCAAAGCAGTGGGTTTAGTCCTGTTCCTGCCCCCAGGCCCTGCGCTGTTCCTCCTCAGCCATGGTGGGAGGTCTCCGTCCTCTCACACTCTCCGGGCACACAGCCCTAAAGCCCTGGCGTTGGGATTCTTCAACACATCTCAGTTATAACAAATCAGTCAAAATGCCATTTTACAGTTAAATAGTACAGAAGACAGTTTACTGTACAAGCAAGTTGTGCATTAAAAACAAACACACCAAGCAAATTATAGTGCAAAGCAGTTCCCACCCCTCCCCACCCTCTTCCCAGCTCTGGGATGGTTTTACTGAGCGTACCAGGTAGTAACACCTCAGCATGACAATATGTCACAAAGGATCTGTACCCACCACCAACAGGCTTACAGTAATACAGGATCAAAACACTTTGGTTTCTTTGGGCTTTCTAAATGTGTGTTTGCCAATACAACTTAAAAGTAGCCTTGTAAATAAGGACCCATTTGTACAAGCCCAGGTTGTCTGTACCCACTATGGGACTTAAAAACAGACTCAGCATGACTGCTGTCACTTTTCATCTGGGGGCGTGGGTAGGGTCAATTTATTTCCTGTCCCTGTCCCTACCAGGGCCTGGATATCAGGAAGGGGTAGTAATCTGGAGTGGGGCTACAAAGTGCTGGGCACTGGGAACCTGAGGGCGCCTCCCACACAGGCCTGGGCCAGTCTACAACCGCAAAGAACAGGACGGAAGAAGGTACAAGGATAATGGGTTTGTAGCTGCTTCTTGAGAAGGGGTAGGGAGACCCTGGGTGCAGGGGGTCAGCAGGACACCCCCAGCAGCTATCCTGAAGAGATGGAGACTGCTTTTTCCAGTGAGGGCAGGACAGACAAGATCACCAGAAGGACTTCCAAGCCTGTTTGAATCGGGCTGTTATTACAGGTCAGGGTGGTAGGGCTATGATAGAGATAGCCGCGGAGGAGCATTCTGTAGGGAGATTTCCACACCCACAGGGGATGTGGCTGAAACAACTGCTAAACACCACACGTTGTCTACCCCTCCTGAGTTTTCTTCCCCTTTTGCACCTAAGTCTTTCTAGAACTAAAGAACTCAGATGGAGAATCCGTGCAGCCTAAACCCCTTGGGCAAGGCCTGCTTTTCCATTTGCAAACCGAAGGGGCAGTGCTTCCCCTCTGAGCACAGGGTGGGCTGGGCTGAGGCTGGGGAGCCCTTCACAGAGCTTCTGTTCTGCCATCACGCCTCTGACATCCCACCCACCTGCACCAGAACACCCACACATCCTTAGACACATCCTCGTGGCCAAATGTCTAAGAGCCACAGAGGTGAGATTCCAGCATCTCATCACTGCTTCCCTCGGTCCCCCCCAGGGCCAGCCTTTCGGGGATATTGGTGGGATTCTGCTGAAGGATTATGACCTCTTGAGGGCGTATTGAGGTCCCAACAATCCCACCCTCAGAAGGGGGAAGGGATATTGTTCACGACCACGGAGCTTTACCTGTAAGAGACCACAGGTTTGAGCATGATTGACTGAAGTTCCTTTTTCTAAAATTGGCTTTGAAAACTAGTTTCTGTTCAAGACGGCTTTTGTAGTACAGACTGGTTAAAGATGGAGAGTTGTGTGTCCGAGGTTGGAAGATTTGGCTGGGCCTTCCCACCAACCTGGGGGTCGGGGGTGTGTACAGCTTGGCTGGACCTAGGTGGGACAGAGATTCTGACATTTGACCCCATGACCCCTCACCCCTGCTTTCCGCTTGGACCTATGTGGTTCTTGTGCTCTCTCCAAAAATGGCCATTTTGAGACCAGCCTTGGGGGAAGGAGGAACCCCCGGCCCTCCACAAGAGAAGAGCGGGGCAATGCCTTGGGCTGGTAAAGTGCATGGAGGACCCGTCTGCAGGAGCCTTCCCTGGTTTTAGGGACCTGCTGCCATAGGCTAGTCTACTCTGGGGCCTGGGACCCACAGACAGCTGGGACTGGGACTAGGATGGTTGTTAGAAATTGTGGGGAAGCAGAGCTGGGGGGACTGGTTTGGGGGGGTGTTCTCTTCCCATCTCTGCCAGTGATTTCCTGGGTCCTCTGGATGGGTCCCTTCCCTGTCTATACAATGAGGGGAACCCCTCTCAGGGGTGGGGGTGCCTTCCAGTTTTGACTCAATTTGTGTAAATGCGGAGGGAGGGCTGGGCCCATGGGGTACAGGGTCTCTGAGGAAGGTGGGGTGACAAGGTCTTTCCAGGGCCCCGTGGATAAGAGGCCAAATGGTGTGGGCAAATGCTGCCTCTCTCTCTCTGGAACAGAAACGGTTTCTATCCCAGGAGACCTAGGCCCCACGACAACATCGGGCACAGCTGGGGACAGCCAGGTCACCAGGGGAGGCGGCAAGAGGACACTTTCCCACAGGAAAGTGGGATGAGATGACTAAGATCTGGGCTGGGGGCGGTGTCCCCTCTGTACAAAGACGTGGCTGGACTAGATGCTTCCAGAGCCAACCACCAGCTCTGGGCCCTGGTGCCCTGGGCCCATGGTTGCCATGGAGCAGCCAAGCCCTGAGCCTCGGAGCTGGGCCTGCCACTTGTTGGGAAGGTTCTTGGGGTCCTTGCCTCCATCAGGAGCAGTCCACTTTGACCCGGGCGGTCAGTAGGGCCTCCACACGGCCTCGTCCATGCGGCCCGGCGTGCTCAGGGCGGTGGGTGAGTTGCTGTGGCTGCCATCGGCCTCCACGCCGTCACTCTGGCCGCCCAGGCTGGGGTTCATGAGGTTGCCGGCGGCCACAGAGGCGGCGCTGCTGGTGCAGGAGGCCAGCATGCGGGTGGGCGAGCGGTCACCGCCACCGCTGCTGCCGGCCACCATGGAGAACTGGTAGGAGCCGGAGGACGCGCCGTAGTAGAGGTGGTAGGGGGACGGGTTGGCCTGGAAGGGCCCGCTCTGGTTCTGCGGGGCCCCAGGGTAGGGCGGCGGGAGGTAGGTGTGGTGGAAGCGGCTGGTGGCCGGCATGCTGGCCACGCTGAGGCTGCTGATGCTCGTGCCCGAGGGCGTGGCGCTGTAGGGGAAGGCGGCCGACATGGCCCCTGGGTAATGCATCCTGGGGTCGGGGAAGCGGCTCTCCGTGAGGGTCTGCAGCGCTGGGAAGGAGCGGTCAAACTGGCGGGGGTCGGAGAAAGGATTCAGGTCCGAGGTGCCTTGGGGACAGAAAGGAGGACAGTCAGTGGCAGGTCCATATCACCCCAGTGACCTTCTTTAAGAATGATCTCAGTAAAGGGGGTCAAATACATGTTGACGGAAGGAGACTAGGCTTGTAGTGGTGAGCACACCGCCAGAATATACAGATGTCATGTTACAAAGTTGTACACCTGAAATTTATATACCTTATAACCAGTGTTACCCCAATAAATACAATTAAAATAAAAAAAAGGACGACCTCAGGGCCTGTGTGTGTGTGTGTGTGTGTGGGGGGGGTGCTCCCTGATTCTACACCTGACTCTGCCCTTACTGGCCTGGCTTCCTGGCGGTGGAAGCCTCTTACTCCATATATGGTTCCACCTGGGATGCAGGTGGGAGCAGATACCTGGGCTGCAGGTGGCCATGGGGGCCTCCTTGGGCAGGTGTTGGGGGTAGGCTCTTCTGGTAGTGCACAGCCTAGTGGTGTAGAGGCCTGCCGAGGGGATGCAGGTGGGCCCCCACCTGGGCTGTTAGGGGTTGACAGGGACAGTTCGAGCCTCCCAGAAGGTCTGGCCTGGCAGCTTCTGCCTCCTTCCCAGTTAAGAGCTGACAAGCCCATGGGTGTGGAGAGGGCCTGCAACGGCCCTGTGAGATGGGGATTTGGAGCCTGCTTTTGTAGATAAGGAAACTGAGGTAGGAAGAAAGGTTTTCCTGATGTTGTGAAAAGGACGCAAACTCCTCATGAGGCCTCTGCTTTCTGCTCTCTGCTGGGTTTTGTGCACGCTTACAGCTCTCCTGCCCACATGGGGCTTGGTTAGGCTGTGAGCTTATGCCTGTGTGGTGGGGGCTAGGTCCACAGCAGCTTTGCTCAGCCCCACACACCTTGTCCTGGGCCTGTGTCTCCAGGGCTGTCCTGAACACAAGAGGTCACCTTCACTTGCCTCAGCAACAAAGAGGGGCTTGGTGGCCTGGGCCCTGCCCTTGTCAAAGACAGACCCAGTATCCAGCCCGGGCCCTGTCCCAGCTCTTTGGATCTGCACTGGACTCCAAGACAAGGGCATCTGAGTCTCTGCCACTAGTTTTGTAGTCATAGGCCCTCAGCATCAAAGGGGCTTTGGGATTGGGTCTAACACTCTTGGTAGGAAACGGAGGCCCAGAGAGGGTGAGGGACTTGCCTAAGGGTCACACAGCACATTGGTCCAGACACAAGATCCTAGGGTTTCAGTCCTGAACCCTGATACAGGCCTGATAAGCAGCTGCCCCATCTCTGAGGCAGCACAGAACAGAGGTGAACTGTGTGGTCTCTGCAGCTGGATACTCATCCTGGTTCTGACACTTACTAGCTGTGTGTCCTTGGGCAAGTCACTTAACCTCTCTGTGCATCAGCCTTCCCGCATGAAAAATGGAGACAGTAACAGTTCCTAGGGATTAAATTAGCTAATACATGTAAAGTGCTTAGCTTGGGCACAGAGTAGAGGCCTGATGAGGTTTGTGCTACTGAGGCAGCTACGACAGACAGCTCTTGCTCTGGGCACCCAGGAGAACTGGGCCATTAAGAGCCCTGCAAAGATGAGCTCCTGACTCTGGACATTCCTTGCACCCTGGTCAAGGAGGTGATTCCGGGCAGCGGTGGGGAGGAAGATGAGCCCCCAGCAGTGGTCCCGAGGGGAAGTGTGTCTGGCCCCAGGCCATCTGTGTCACCCCAACAACGAGGACTCAGGGAGACCAGCCTGTGCCCCCTGGGCAGCTCCAGGTGGGTGCTGCCTGCAGTGACTGAGTCTCGGCTGAGGACAGAGAGCCACAGGTGCCCTCAGGCCTCTTGCTTCCTCAGACCTGCCTGTGGTACTGCGTGACCTCAGGTAAGACCTGTAACTTCTCTGGGTTTTTGGCCTTCCCCACTCAGCTAGGGCTGTTTCTTCAGCAGTGGGCTCTGGTCCCGGCCATGGATCAGAATGGAGAGATGCTCTGAGCTCAAGGTCAGGGCAAGGGTCCTCCTGGAATGTCTGGTACCCTCCCTAACAGGTCCCTTGGCTGGTCAGTGCTGCCTTGAAGCCCAGGGGGTCAGTGGTGCCTGGATCCCAGCTTCATCTGGGAACCCCAGGGGAGAAGGCCTGTTGGCAGTGCCTGGCACCCCAACCATAGCCCAACACGAGGCTGACGCCTCTGCTCTGAGCCCACGAAGTGAGTGTTGCCCGCCAACAGGAACCCCATTCTCAGAGCAAAGGGAACCCAAACAGGGACCCCAGGATGCAAGCGATAGCTGGGCAGCAGCCCAGGAAACACGAGGCTGTGCAAGGTGGACTTGGGCCTGAGGTGCGCCGCCCTTGGAGTTCACATGGGCTGCTGGCTCTGAGCTGGGCCTGCCTGGACTGCCACTGTCCCCTCCTGCCTCCCTCCCAGGGTAGCGGGGAAGTGTCTGCCCTCAGCACCCCTGAGGCTCCTGCTCCCCCACCCCCCCAACCCAGTAGCCCCAGGAAACCAGAGCTGGCCGGCTGTCGAGCAGCCAATCCCAACACTGGAAGGAAATGTTTATTTTCTTCTCCAAATTGCCCCAGCTGCTGCATGGTGGCTGAATGAGCCCTTTGAGCTGTGAGAAGCCCCCACTGTGGGCGGCCGCAGCCGGGGGGCCAGGGGCTGGGGTATGGAGGGGTTGGGGCCTCCGCACTGCTTGACAGTGACCAAAGATGGGGGTTAAGGCTATTAACAGGCACCAAGAGACGTGGTTGTGATGTGTCCTGAGGGGATCTCCAGGATGGAGTCTGAAGGCAGAGGCTCATCCCAACAGAAGGGAAGGGCCAATGAGAGGGCCCCAAACCCAGCCATGCCAACACCCCTCTGTGGCAGATACCTTCTTCTTCCCACTTTATAGATGAGAAAACTGAGACTCAAAGAGGTAAAGTGACGACTTGCCTAAGATCACACAGCCAGTACCTGGCAGACCCAGAATTCCAAGCCCGGTCCACCTGACTGCCAAGTCCATGCGCCTTCCCTGGTCCTTGTTGTCAAGAGCCCTTCCTCTCACTCCAAAGGGGACAGGCCTGGGGAGGGAAAGGCCTAGCTGGGTCAAAGGGCCATAAAGGCAGCCAGCGCTGTGCGTGGTTAGGGAGGGGCTGGAGAGCCCTGCAGAGGACGCAGCAGGAGGGGACAGACTGAGTTAGCTATGCCCCACGCAGGCCCCATCTCTCCTCCTAGCCCCAGGGTGGAGGCAGGGGCTCTGCCTGCTGCTGGACCAGACCCAGCCCTTTGGGGCTGGACAGAGGGTGGGTAGCCTGCCTCAGGCTCCTCTAGGCACTGATTCCCCAGCCCTGTCCACACAACTGTGGGAGGGCAGAGATGGGCTCTCCTTCCAAGGGAGCTGCTGGACAAGAAGGCATGTTCACCCCCACCTGCTGGATTCTGGGGCTCCCTGGCTGGGCCCCAGGACCTCACTGTGCCCCAGCTCTGCCCATGGCAGGGTAAAGCCTGGAGTGTTAGGCACTGTATTTTGACAAATGCTGGCTTGTGTGTGAGGAACGGAGAAACAGATAGCTTTTGGGCAAAGGTGGGCATGAGCCTGGAGTGCAGAGTACCTCTCACTGCCTCTGGAGGTCAGAGCCCCACCCTGCAGGCCCCAGACTCTAGAGCTGCTAAGTATCGTAAACTCGCTAGCCCATGGGCTCAGAGCGGCTGGACCTGGGGCCTCTACCCACCTCACTAAGGCCAAGACCCAGCTTCCCAGGCCAGAACGGGAGGAACCTTCTCTCCACACTGAGAGACTGCATCAAGTCTGCCATCATCACTCATCTGCCAGGTGGGTTCTAACCAGGCTCGGGAGGACCGACAAAAGAATGACTTCCACAGTGCATTGTGGCAGTCAGCACTCTGTCTGTGTTCAGTACTGCTGACGAGCGCACTTTGCCCCAAGGGTCAGCTGTGCACACAGCCTCTTGTGCCTAAAACCACTGGCTGACAAAGCCTGGAAAAGAGTAAATATTCACTATCCCACCATTTATTGAGCACCTGCTATGTGCCAGGCATCTGTCTACAATGGAAGGCCTGCCCGAGATCTAGCTTTGCTTGTGCCTGCTATATCCATCCAGGCGATGGGGATTGAGACCCCTGTCTTGGGCCTCAGCCCAGAGGCCTTTCTCTACCCTGTTTGAGAGGAATCTCTAGGCCGGTGGGGCCTTTCCTGGGCAATGCTGTCTCTCTCCAGGGCTGCGACATCACTTTACAGTTTACAAAGTTTTGTTTGAGTGTAGTAATGGCATCTGAATGTCACCCTGGCCCCGGGCAGAGGCATCAGTCACAATCCCATTTTCAGATGAGGAAGCTGAGGCTTTTGGGGGGGGGTGGTGTCTTCAGTAGAGACGTGTCTGTCACAGCCTCCCTGGACAAATCATGCCCCAGTTTTAATGGGTGCACCGTGGGATTAATGCCCATTCCCCCAGGGGACAGTGAGCGCCTGGAGGGCAGGGAGTGTGTCTGTTCATGGCGATCCCTGGGGCCAGGCACCACGCGTGGCACATAGTGGGTGCCAATAAACGTTTGCTGAATGAATGAATGAAGAGTCTGGCTCAGGCCTGGGCACAGGGCATCCCTCAGGAAACAGCTGTAGGAGCAAACAAGCACAGCTGCCTCCTTTATAACACAAGGGCGGTGCAGTGCACGACACATATACAGGTCCCCGTCCACCTCCCCTCACCGCAGCCCCCCGCTCAGCTGTACCTTGGATGGGGGTCTGGGCTTGGCTGCTGAAGTGGCTTGTGGTGCTGAGCGAGCCTCGAGGGCTGGGCGTGCTCGGTGTCACTCGCATGCGCAGCCGATCCAGTTCCCCGTAGCGGTCAGAGAATGTCTTGGTCTGGTCCTCCATCTTCTGCCGGTGTCCTGCAGAGCATGGGGAGCCCATCAGCAGCTGGTTCTCAAGAGTCTCAGAGGACAGAAATGCCTCGCTGCACTGGCAAGTCCTCCCTGAGGTCTAACCTTAGGCCTCTGTAGGGAAAACCCTTAGGTCACTACCAACCTCTTTTCTGAGGTTTTCCAAGGATTTTCTGAACAGTGAACGGTCATAGGTGCCTCCCTGGGGCCGCCATGATGATCTCATCCCTACCCTTTTGAGCAGGAATACCCATTCTCACACCTGAGCCTCTACAACACACTGTTTGGCAGAAGGGGAAACTGAGGCAACAGGCACGGACAAGCAGCTCAAGCAGGCTCCTGTAGGGGCCAGGGAGAGAACCCAGGAGTGCTGCCACCCTCTGCCTCCCAGCATTCCAGACCCCACCTCCCACATCTGCAAGAATGATGGGAAGCGGTCCTGGGATGGGACTGCTGCCCCTCCAGCCCTGAGTCACCCTGGGACCCCCAGCACATGCCTTCTCCTCTCCGAGCCTCAGAGAGAAGGGAACATTCACCTGGATGCTGAGAAGAGGCATGGGGCACCTCACTGAGGGGCTGGACTCCTATCTCTTACTGGAAGCTGGGGACAGGGGACTGGGGCACCTGGCTTGGGGCATTGTACCTGGAGAAACTGCCAGCATTTCCCATTACCCCTCTGCCATGGCCCACACAGAAAAGACCCTGGCCTTGTCTTCTAGGCCTTGGAGGTGCTGGCAGGGTCAAGGTGAAGGTCGTCATGCCCCTGCCTTTGTTCACCAGCAGAGACCACCCCAGGGCTTCTTGAATGACATCAAGCTTGCAGGGACCCCCGAACACACCGATTTTCAATTGCTTGTTTTACATTTCACAAACAACACATGAATATCCACAAAAATAAAAGCATTACGGATGAGGCTATGGCTCCTTTGAGCCATCTTAACCCCTCCCCAGCAGTGCCCAGGTGGTCAGTTTGGAGGTCTTTCCTTCCAGCTGCTTTCTGGTTTCACATGCATGGAAAACACAGAGCAAGGTTCTCATGGAACTCTGTTGAATGGTCTCAGCCTGGCTGTATCATTCTGTAACTTGCTTTTTCAGTAGTGCACCCTTGCAGCGCGGCCTCGGTTTTTTGGTCTGTAAAACGGGGAGGCTAAGCCAGTCCCATGGAAACGCCCGAGTTCCTCCCGCAAAAGCTCAGGAGGCTGAGGGGGACTGCGCCGCTATGCCAGTGGGCATTCCTCGCTCCTGCTGGTCACATACACTGGAGTTCACTCAGCCGTTCCTTTTGGACGTGCTCTTAGGCTGTTTCCAAATTTCCTCCATTGTGCCCTCACACGCAGTGTGCCTGTTCACAGCCCTGCGTTCCTGGGGATTTCTCCAGGGCAGGCACTGAAATGGACGGCGCACACAAAAGGCTGAGCATTCCTGGGTTCTGCTGCCCAGCCCAACAGCGAGGCTGGTCCATTCCACTCTCCCCGACCCGAGGAGGAGGCCAGGGAGGCAGGCTGGCCTCGTCCTTTTTTTACAGGCGAGAGAACTGCGGCTCAGAGAAGTGAAGAGGCTTGCCTGAGGTCACACAACAAAAAAGGGGGAAGGATTTCCTGAATCTGGGATCCTTTGGAAAAGCAGTGTGGAGAGGGGTCAAGGGAGATGGGAGGGCTTGCCTGAGTCCTTGGGTCTGCAGTGACATGAGGAGTTTTCTAGACCGACAGGGAGAGCAGACAAGAGAAGTAGGTGGGAAGTGAAACAGGACTCCTCACCATCCTCTTCCAGGCCTGGGAAAGTGGGAAATGACTGCTGACCACCGCTGGGAGCGCGGGGACAGAGCTGGAGGCCTCAGAGTGGGCCTCATGTCTGGTTTTCAAAATGGGAATGCAATGGATTCCAGGACCCCCCAGACCCCCAGGATCCCTACACGCCCCTGCCACTGACTCAAATGGGCATCTGAGAGCCCTTGGAAACAGAGCAGGGAGTCTTGGGAGCCACAGTGAGTTTCGCAAGTCACCAAGAACCAGGGAAGCCACTGTTTCCTCTGAGGAGGCCCCAGGCCTGGAGCCCAGGGGACACTTGGCAGCTAGAATGAGACTACTAGGCCTCCAGCCAGGCCCCCTGCTGCTGCCTCACAGGACCCTTGGCAACAAAGGGGAAAACATGGGCTGGAGCCAACTCAGACGCCTCTGGGGGCTGGGCAAGTCATGTAAACGAGACACCTGGGATGGGTAGGGACTGCGGCAGAGTGGAGAGGGTGTGACTTGTAGAAGAGACAGCTGCCATCCAGTCCAGCTGACTGGTGCCCTGAGGGGGGTGGGCCCAGTGTTGCTAGAGCTTCCAACTGACCAGGAGCAGCCATAAACCTGCTTTTATATAAAATCTCCTATATTTTATATGTTGGCAATTAATTCAAATACTGAAAAAAAAAAGCCAAACCGACCACTTTCTAGGACGTGTCTTGCTCAGGGACTGCCAGTGTGCAACCTCCGAGCTCAAAACTCCATTTTCTGGTTGGTTGTGTAACCTTAGCCACTGAGGATTGGTTCATGATGCCACTCAGGAGGTGGTCTCGAGGGGAGCGCCACAAGCTCGGTCAGCCTCAGCCCTGACAGGCCTTGGAGGAAATGGTGCCCTTGCCACCGAGGCCACAAAAAATGGCAGGGCACAGTGGAGGAGCTGGGGTACGAAGGAATTCAGAACAATCTCAACAGGCAGGAAGTCGACCGGATGGACGTGGAGACTGCAGACTGACCTGACAGCAGCTTAGGTGCAAAGGATCTGGGTGTCTTAGTCAACCACAAGCCTGAAGTGAGCCAATGAGGCTACACAAAAGCGGGTGCAAAACCTCAGGCCTTGTTATTATCGTCATAGGCGAACGAAGTCCCGTTTCTGAGTCACACTGTGTACAATGTGTTTACAGTTAATCTTGTGGCCCGGCGGAAGGAAGGCGGGGTTCACAGCTGGCCTGGGTTCGAGGATGGGCCCTGCTGCTTGCAGCCTGGTGGCCTCACTAAAGTCACACTCCTTTTGCCCCACCCTAAGCCACAGTGCCCCATCATGGCGCCCAAATAGGTTGGTGGTTCTGGCCAAACAAGGTGTGTAAACGCACTCCCTCCACTTGGGTCACTGCCATCTCGTGCCAAGATGATCACCCCCACATTAGAGACCAGAACACTGAGGCCAGGATGGTAAATCGTGTCTGGGACATGAACCCGGATAGCAGAGCCAGCAGTGGCACCCAGGCCCCTGACTCCCAAGTCCAGTGCTCTTTCTCTGGACGTTTTCCTTTTTGCTCCCACTGCACAGATGGGGCCACTGAGGCTTCAAGTTGAGACCTATGCGAAGTGGTTGGTCTGGGATAGCAATCAGGTAATCTGGCCCCAGAGCACATACTCCGACCATATGCTGTTCTGCCTTCACATAGGGCAGACTTTCTGGAGAAAGGGTTTTTAACAGCACTTCAGGAATTGCTTCCTTGCTGCGGAAAGCTGGAGCCACTGCCAGGGAGGGGCCAACAGAAGCCAAGGCGTCTCCACCTGGCTAGGGTGCCAGAGAGTCTCAGTGCCACGGGCCAAGACCTTCACATTGGGAGCAGAGCGGAACTTCCTGTGCCCGAGGAAAGATGAGCCCACAGAATAAAGCTCTTTCACTCGGCTACCCACAGTGGGCGCTGAGTGGGTATCTCTGGCCTGGCTCCCTTGGTCACCTGGATCCAGCCCTTTCATGCTGAGCCTCAGTTTCCCCTCTGTGCAGGCTGCTCACTGAGGTCCCTCCAGCTTTGGAAGTCCCTGACTTAAGATTGCAAAGATCAACCACTGGCCCTACTGGGGCCCCAGAAGGAAAGAAGACAGGGTTGTTTGTTCCAGGGCCCATCCACCATGACTTCCATCTGCTGCTGCTGTTCCCAGGGTTTCTCGAGTATTCTCTGCCTCCCACACTTTAGAGCCACAGCTCAGGCACAGCCCCGGCCAGGAATACTTTCCTGTCGTTTGGGGCTCAGCCCAGGAGCCTCTCCTGCAGGAAGCCTCCTTCTCCCAGCACTGAGCCCCCCACACCACAGCAGCTCTGCAGACTAAGCGCAGTAGCCGGGAGGGCGGAAATGAAACAGCAGCTGATGCTGCTTCCTCCACTCTAGTGTCTGAGCAGTTGACACGCACCGCCTTGTTTCACCCTGCATCATCCTGCAAGGGAGGTCTACCAATGTCCCTATTTTACAGGTGAGAAAACTGAGGCTTGGTGGTGGTCAGTGACATGCTTGAGGTCACACAGAAGGCAGCTGGCCACCTTCCCTTCCGGAAGCCCGTAATGCAGGAAAGGAGCCTGAGTTTTGAAAATCAGAGGCTCTAGAGCAGGCAGGGGATGGCAAACTGCGGCTCGCGAGCCACGTGCGGCTCTTTGGGTGCGTTCCGTCTCACAAGTTTGCCGACCCCTGGGAGAGCCAATCCTGTCCCTCAAAACAATTTAAAAACTATTCGAGAGCCATAAGTATATTTTTACATAATCACCATTATGTGAATAATATCCTTTAAAAATTTTATAAATGAAACTATAATAGTTTTATTTTCATTTTCAATTTTACTTCAGAGCCACAGTTCGCAAGCCACAGTTTGCTGACCCCTGGCGGCTCTTCCATCTCAAAAGTTTGCCGGCCCCTGCTAGACAATGGGCCCAGAACAGCTCTCTGCGGGCCCAGGAAGGTGGGCCTGGGGAGGGGAAGATGCCAGGGTCTCAGCAGACTCCACCAGGAGCTCTGCCCTGCTCTGAAGCTCAGTGCTGAGAAGCCAGCTCTCTAATCATGCCCTGCTCTAACACACCAAGTCCCGCTCCTCCGCTGGGCCTCAGTTTCCACACCTGTAAAATGGTTATCATACTGTCTATCCCCTAGAGTGAGGAGGAGCTCGGGACAAACCCCAAGTGTTTAAAAGCAGGTTACCATGGCCATGGGATCTGGCTTAGGGTGCCCATCAGCCTCCAGCAGTTGGGCTTAAATCACTGTGCCAGGTGGGCCATGCGTATTGTCTCCAGGGGCCCTTTGAGAGGCTGCTACTGTCCTCCCCATTTTACAGATGGGAAAGTGAACATATGCGGTCAAACCTGGAAGGGTCAGCACATTGCATGGGGCTTGGCAGCTAAGGTCTTGGCTTCCCAAGACCTCCAGGAGAGGAGAGCCGAGATGCCTGGCAGCAAGGTCTGAGTGGCAAGAGGCCAGCTCGGTGCCCTGCCTCAGTTGCATGGAGGGGGACAGGAGGCCAACAGGGGCAGAGGGCAGCAGAGTTGCGCAGGCCCAAGGAACAGGGGAGTCTGCGGGGAGCAATGTGGGCCCCAGTGATGGAGCCCCTCACCCATCTGAAGCCACTCGGCTGCCTCCTCGGCTGCCTGGCCTGGCCCTGGTGCGGCCACAACCCAGACACAGCAGCCACTGTCTGCCCAGCTGTGGGGTGGGGCACCCGGGCCCAAGGCCCGCTTTGCGGCCTGTCAGGAGATTTACACCCGACTCTTAACAACCCCGTGGAATCACAGGCGGGTGCTGGGCCCCGGGTGGTCTGCTGTGAATCGGCCCCCTGTGAGCAGATGAAAGCCGGTCGGTGGCTGGCCGGGGGCCAGCGGGCAGGGCGGCAAGCGGCTCCCTCCAAGGGCCGCAACTGGGGCTCCCATGGGCCTGGGGTTGATTAGGGGAACCCGGGAGGTCTGAGGTTAACCCCTTCCCTCCTGCTGGGTGCACTCCCTTGGGAACCACGGGGGTCCTGGGAGCCAGGGCCAGGAGCAGTCAGCTCTCCTCAACTGGGGTACCCCTCTGCCGCCCCTCACCTGGAGCTGACAATGAAACCGTGTCAACTTCGGGACCCTCAAAGGCCCAGCTGCAGGCTTAGGGTCACTTTTCGTGCCCATGCTGTCTGGAGGCCTCAGCAGCCACAATGGCGGTTTGCTCTCTTCCTTCAGCTCAAATGTCACCCCTTCAGGAAGTCTCCCGTGTCCCCCATCCCTGCTGTGTCCCACTCCCCACAGTTCCCCCCCCTACTCCCCTAGCTTTGTTTTTCTTTATAGGACTTCACATGACCTGAAACTAAATGAGCTAATCATTTGTTTACTTCGTTTATTCCACAAATATTTACCGAGCACCTACTAAGTGCTCACGTCTGTACTCCAGGGTCTATACCAGTGACTGGCAAAGTGGAGGAATGAACCTCTGCCCTGGGGAGTGTAGGTAATTGTGGGGGGGAGGTGAAAAAGAAATGAAATAAATCAAGGAACTATATAGCATCCTAGAAGGTGAAAAGGGCCTGAGGTAAAATTAAAGCCGGGACGTATACGAGGTAGTGGGGGGACTGCTATGTTTGTGTGATTTGAAACAGGGTGGTCAGGGGAGGGCTCACTGTGAACTTCGAGGAAAGACTTCAGGGTGGGAAGGCGTGAGCCACGAATCTGGGGATGTGTCAGGAGAGGTGTTCCAGGTAGAGAATCACAATGCAAAGGCCCTGAGGCAAGAGTATGGCTACCCAGTACGCAGACCAGCCAGGAGGCCAGGGCGGCCAGAGTGGGGTGAGTGAGAAGGAAGACAGAGGGGTAACAGGCCCAGATCAGGTAGGGCCTTGTGGGCCATGGTGGCAACAGAACTGTTTCCCATCTCTCCCTACTCCTAGTGTGTGAGACCCAAGAGGGCCGGAGCCCATCTATTGGCTTTGCTCTGATGTTCCCAGCTTCTAGAACAGTGCCTGACACATGGTAGTTGCCCAGGAAAATATTTGTTGAAATCATTCCATGTACATTTTTGGGAAGGGCCCACAGGCAAGCTGCCAGAGCTGCCTGCCCCTGCCTCAGGCAGGATTCAGAATCTGGGTCCTACCCTTCAGGTACCAGCACCTGCTAAGCCTGGAAGATGCGGGGCGAGCAGTTCGCAAACTGTGGTCCACTGCACAATCGCCAGGCCCCATACTGTGCTGGATCCGGAGCCTGGGTCCCCCTAGGCCACCTGCTTGTGAACCAGCCCCCAGTGACTATGAGGGACACCAACATGGAGAACCTCAGAAACCGAGGCCACACAGGCAGGAAGCCACCAAGCCAGCCTTCAAACCCAGCCAGCCACCTGGCTGCAGATGGGGCACGCTCTGCAGGGCACCAGAGGGGAACCACCCAGACACAGAACCCACAGCTGCCTCAGGGAGCTGCGGGCTCCACTCCTTGGCTCCCGGGACCAGTCCCTACTCCCATCCCACCCCACAAAAGGTTTAGCCCTCACATGGGGCTGAGGGTCACAAAGCATGAGGAAGCCCAGAAAGGAAACCCTCATCCAGGGGCCTCAGTGGGGCTTGGTGGGCAGCCCTGGGTTGGGCAGGCTGAACCGGAGGGTTCTGAGGGATTCCAGGCACAGCCAGGCCCCTGGGAGCCTCCCACCAGGCTCCAAGCAGCACCCCCACTCCCGCATGCCTCTTTGGACTAGGGGCTCACTGCTTTGTGGCGCTCCTCAGTGTTGCAACATCACATTGAGCCCACCTGTGGCTCCTGTCCACCCTGATTCTGCCCCTGGAGATTTCGAGTAGGATATCATCTCCTTCAACAGAAACATTCCTCTACTACCATGGGCTGCGGTTCTCAGCAGCCACCTTAATGGTGGTGGTGGGAGTGTAGGGTGGTGGCCAGGTACCAGGACTAAACAGAACATCACTCACAGTGACTCACAAGGACCATCCCTCGACTACAGTCAGGTGCTATCCACCTGTCAGCACTGATGTCCAGGCCTGCAGGGTGGGTGGTGTCGTCTCACTTCCTATACGAGGCAGCTGAGGCCCAGAGAGGTCAGCAACTTGCCCAAGGCCCCTCAGCCAGGCAAGCTGCTCTCTGCACAACTGCCGATGGCTCACAAGGGCTTCCCAGCCATCGCCACCCTGAGACTTTTGGGACCACTGACCCAGTTCACAGATGACAAAATTGAGGCCAAAAAACAAGACACAACTTGCCTAGGGCTACGAAGCCCAGGGTGAGGGGCGTGGACCCGTCCATGTCCAATCGCAGCAGGAATGTTGCCTGCTGAGAGCTGAATGTCTCTGGGCCTGATGACCATGTGCAGGAGCTTAGGTGGCCCTGAGAGGCCTGGAGGGAACTCTTCCAGAGTCACCCGACCCAGCTCTGAGCCTTTCCCAAGTGGCCAGACGCCAGAGTGGACCCAGGATTGGACAGATGTGAACCAGGCCTGCCTGATTCCCAACAATGGAGGAGCTGGCCCAGGGCCAGGCCTGGATGGCCCTCACTGACCACACCCTGGCCTAGTCACACTCCCACTGTGAGCCTCCTGGGCACTGAGGAGGGACCAGAAGCTTGTCCTCCTGCCCCGGGCCTACTCCACCCGGAATCAGGATCAAAGGCTGTCTTTGGGACACTGGGCGCCTCCCCGAAGCTAAGAGAGTGTGAGGCCCCAGCCAGGATCTCCATGTTCCCCAATCCTGGGTTCTCTCCTCACTGGAACCTGCTGACCCTTTGGCTCTGCTGTCACGAGGATCCCATGAGGCAATAAATGTGAGAGGGTTTTCTAAACTGCAAAGTACCACGACTGGAAAGAAAGAGGAGGACAGGGCACCTTTCAAATATACCATGTGAGCGTGCCACCAGTGAGGGACAGTCCAGACAAGTGCTCTGGAAGCAGCCAGTCCAGAGGTGGTCAGCTGGTTCTTTGCTTCATGCATTCACACACTCACTCACTCACTCACTCACTCACTCATTCATCCAGTGAACACAGGCCTCTGGCCCACTCTGTGGCAGCCACCCTTCTGCTCTCCCCAATCTGAATCTGCAAACTCCGGGTCCTTCAGCAGGCAGAAGCAATTCAACACAAACTCTCTTCGATGCTAAAATGCATGCACCAGGGCTCCCTGCACCTAGCAGGTGCTCAATAAATAACTGCAGAAATCAAATTTGCATTCCTGATCTCGAGAGTGTGGGTCCTGGGGTCAGGGTGCCTGGGCTCTGTGTGATTTGAGCAAGTCACATACTGAGATTCAAAAGTTTCCAAGGAGGAGATATGTCCTCCCATCCAGACTAGCTCCTGTTTTGAATGGCTCCCTCCCTCAGCCACTGGCAGAGGAAGCTGGGGTGGAGTAGAGCGCACCTGGCCCAACCTCCAGCCCCCCACCACACACCCACAATCACCCTATCTGAAGCCTTTTCCTTAATGAGTGCACTCCATGCTCCCCAGCTGGCCGCCAGTGGGAAATCATCCCACGGGGGAGGGGGGGGGGAGTCAGCTGATCTTGACATCTCCCCCTCCCAGCCTCCTCACTGGCCTCCAGAAGTCCAGGCCAAGCACAGAGGGTTTGGGGCTGCACTGGCAGGCACACAGTGTGGGGTATAGAACAGAGGGCCACAACCCCCCATGGGAGTGCTCCTGGGACCCAGTGCCATCTTTCTGACCTTGGCTGCATCCCTTTCCCCATTGGACCCTCCTCCCCCACCCAGGGGGCTCAGCGGCTCTGGCACTTACGTCTGGGCTCCCGGGGTCCATCCACGGTCACCTTGATGGCTCGGTGGTAGGTGGCCACTTGGGTGGGGTTGGTGAACACGGTGATGGTCAGTGTGAAACTCTTCCCTGGGGGGAGTGGGGAATAAAGGCAGGAGGTTGGCATGTGGAGCCATTCACGACATGCCTCGTGTGCCTCCGCAGGAAACCTCCAGAAGGGGCAGGTCTCTCTCCCTTGAACCCGAGCAGAAGGTGGGTCTCTGAGTGAAGTTCAAGCTGCTGGAGTTGGCATTCAAGGCTCCAAGAGATCTGGCACCAACTCGATCACACATTCCCCCCACCCCATCCTCTGGCCACCCTGGCTTATTTCCTCCCTGCTTCTTCTTCTTCTTCTTCTTCTTCTTTTTTTTTTTTAGCTGAGCCATCCTGCCACCTGTTGGCAGCTCAGCTTGGGCCGGGCATCGAACCGCTGTTACTCAGAGCTCGCGCTCTTGAGCGAGCTCTTAACCAACTGAGCCACTCGGCCGGCTCTTCCTCCCTGATTCTTGGCCTGTGTTTGTGTTGTTCCTTCTATCCAGAGACCTCTGCGATTTTGGAATGGGGAACAAGGAGGGGCATATACTTTTTCCTTCAAGTAATTTAGTGGCCTTTATAGAAAACTTTGAAAACACAGAAAATATACAAAAAGAAAAAAACCATCCCTAGTTCCATTAGCCAGAGATAAACACAGTTACCATTTGGGTGTTTTCTCCTCCAATCCTTTTTGGGTGGGTATATGTATTTACATAGTTGCAGTAATAATACTAAAGTATATATTTTTGTACTGTTTTTATTTTTCACTTAACATCACATCATAAGCACTTTCCCATGTCATTAAAAATTCTTCATCAACTTCATTTTTAATGGCTGCAAAATATTTCAACTCACGGGAGCCTCATCTTTTATTTATCCATCTCCTTACTCTCGGTAGTTATGTTGCTGCTAATTTCTTATTGGTGTGTGCAGCTAGGGCTGGAAAAGGGCTGATTTGGGAGCTGCAGACATTTCATTTGTAGACACAACTGTTATTTCCAGAACTCTGTTCTATTTTTAGATAGACATTTGGCTCCAAAGTCTCCATTCAAAATTCCTGAGAGGGGGGAAAAAAAACCCTTTAAAAATAATAATTTATTTTTTTACCATTTAAAATAAAACGAAAATGACCTTCGGTTTCGAAAAATCTTTGTCTACATCTCTGCTTATTTCCTTAGCATTGATTCCAAGAAGTGGCGAGTGATTTCATCGCATCAGAGAGTTGGGACGTATTTAGGGGCACTGATCTCGAGTGAGATGACTCTCCCGGGTCGTCGTGATTGGTGTGAGGCCGCGTGTCACCCTGGTGCCATCAGCATCGTGACCACGGCTATCAAAGTGGAAGATCTCTTCAACGCTCCAGGCTTCACTTGCCTTTCTTCTATTACTAGTGAGACTGTAACTTTTTTTTTTATGTTTATTAGCTGCTCTCCTCCAACACAAATTATGGCTTTGTGTTCTTTTATACTTTCCTATTAAGGTTTTAGTGCCTTTAAAAAATCGCTCTATCTTAAGCTTGTTAATACTTTCCATGTCCTATTTGTGGCAATCTGTTTCTCAGTTCCTGGCCTTTACATTTTGCTTTCTGACTCCGAGCTGTTTTGCATTTTCAGTTCTATCTCTGGTTTGTGATTTCTCTTATCATTTTCGTGTTTAGGCAGGTTTCCCCAGGTAACAAGCAGATAAAGGGTTGCCTCTGATAAACAGCATTCTCAGTACTTTCTACATTGAATTCTTTGATTCTTCTGTGGGTTTACTGGTTGGTGTGGTATAAACTAAGGATTTTTCCTCAAAGGGCGACCCAGTTTTCCCAGCACCTCCCCTGAAGTGTGAGCCCCCTCTCTGCCACATGTTCTCCGTTATCACACAAATGATATTGGAAGGGTGTGAGGGAACTTTGTTGATCCCCCAAGTCAAAGTTGGCCTCCCTCTCTGAACACCTCTATCTCTGGGCTCCATTTATAAGCTTGGGGACTCCCTAAAGGCAGGGCCAATGAACTGGGGCACCTATGTCCCCCAGGACTGGCCAAAGGTGGGCACCGAGGGAGGCTGCCCAAGCGGACCCCTCTGGTGCTCCTGTGCTCCCAACAACTCTCCAAGGCAGGCAGGTGGGTTCTGATATCCCCGCTTCAAGGTGGGCGATGGGAACGCGGGGTGGGCCTGCCCCTTTACAGTGAGTGCCCTTTGCATGGTTCTCTTTGGGTATTTGTTGGTCTAGGGATCAAGTGAAAACTCTAGCCCCAGAAACAAGAGACTCCAGAACCAAACTAAACCAGCCAGGCTGCCAGGGCAACACGGAGGAACCCAAGGGCTTCTGAGATATCATAGGTTGGGGGACTGTGGGGGGGGGTTTAAATTGAGGTGTGACTGGGACTGAAAGAGTGGGGCCTCTCTGGAAGAATTTTTTTGAGCTGTTGGGCTGGAGGTAGCGATGGAAATGCAAATTGCACCTGCCCCTGAAGTCCTGGGTCAGAGGGACAAACCTGGCCCTTCCTTTCAGACCACAGGGGCACACTTTCCATGGTTTCTGAAAACAGGATGTGCAGGAAGTCTACGGAAATGCCAGGCAGGTGGGCTCAGGCACCCTGCCCACCCCTTCCAGGAGACTCTCCTTTTCCTACTGCTTTCCCTCACTCTGAGGTCATTTCCCCCCTGGACACCCCCACTCCTAACCAGTCAGGCACTCTCTAAGGATCCCTGGGCCTCTCCTTCTGTTGCCTCCTTGGTGATGCAGGGTGGCAAACCGATGCGGAGTTTAGGTGGACAGCCCAGAACCAGAGCACCCGGCTCTGAACACCCAGGCTGGATGGGCCCCAATCCCCCCAAGTGCTCCTGTTTCACACCTCACTTCCCTCAGGTCTCCACTGAAAAGTCACCTTCCCAGGGAGGCCCTCCCTGTTCACTTTATCTAAAGTAGGCATTTTGAACTTGGCATCTGTGCCTCCTCTTAGAATTCAGTAGGCCTGTGAACTAGTATAGGAAAAGGAATGGCAATTGTATTGTCCCTAACCTCTAAATGAAATTTAGCATCCTTCTCGAGCATGAACATAGGCAACAAGCCACAGAGGCATTACAGCAATCCCTGTGACCTTGTCACAACAGATGTCACAGATATTTACATATCGCATTGCAGACATTGCAGATTTCTCGAAATATCTTTTATGCTCGTCACAACTTCAAAAGCATGGTCGTCATCAGGCCCATTGCTAGGTCATCTTATTTAATACGCGCACAAAGCAGCACATTTATCACCATTTTAAAAGACATTTTTCTAACTACATGTTAATGTAATTAGCTCCCATTGTCATCCTTTGTGTTTCATTTTATTCTTTAAAAAAACATTATTCTGAGACGGCCCGAGGGGTCCGTGGGATGAAAAAAGGTTAAGAAGCTCAGTCGGAAGCCTCATAGACCCTTCCACTCCCATTCTCCCTGCTTCAATTTCCCCAAAATGCTTATTGCTTCTAATAATCCATCCACTTCCTTATTTTATTTTGTCTCCCTCTACTAGGCTGTAAGCTCCCTGGGGCCAGCACTTTTGTCTTGTTCATTGCTGTGTCCCCTGCACCTAGGACAGCATCTGGAACATAGGAAGTGCTCAATAAATGTTTGTTAAAATAACTAATGGCAGAGATGATGGCTCGCATTTTACAGATGAGGAAACAGACTCACCGAGGGGCAATGAGTGGACCAGGTCACACGGTACCCCGGGAGGGCCCAGCAAGGTTAGAATGTGCTGGAGCCTGCCCCTCCACGTAGATACTGAGGACCTGCTCCTGAGGAGTGAAAAGCCTCCACCCGCACCAGGCAGCAAACCACAGGCCACCCCTGAGGTCACCAGGCCTCCTCAAGAGCTGCCTCCCAGTTTTGAGGCCTAGCATCACCCCGCCCAGATACCTGCAGAGAGGAGGGAGGAAGGCAGAGGCTGGGACCTGGCAGCAGGAGTGGGAGGGAGGGGCAGGTGTCAGGTACCACAGCTGGCGGGGACCCTGTGAACCAGGGGTGGTGAGTGCCCCTGGCCTCTCTCTTTGCCTGGCAGCAAACCCATCCCCCCCCCCACGTCTTGGAGGAGGGAGCTGAGAAGACAAAGGAGGTGGACAACTTTGTGCAAGAACCTTGGGCAAACTTGCAATCAGCCAGGAGTGCAAATCAAGGCGCTCCAAGGGTTGACCTGGTTGGAAGAGAAGTCTTGGTCAGGAAATAGGTACCCTTTGGGGCTCTGGGTGGCCCCAGACACCCCCACAGGACCTGGAGTGGTGGACCAATCAGCACACACAGCTGGGTCCAGCAGTGTGGCCGGCAGTGTGGCCATGGGCAAGTCCCTGCCCCTCTCTGCCAGTGTTCCTGTGTGATTTGCCCCAGTCAGAGGGGTTCATGGACAATGGGAGGGAACATGTCTCAGGGGTCCTCTGGGTTTTCTCAACATTGGCCAAAAAGCCATCTCTCTCCTCCCCTATCAGTGCCCCCACTAAACCTGCACCCTCACACCTCATCCCCAACCTCTCTCCACATATACTGGTTTCTTTTCAGCCAGTTAAAGAAACTTTTTAACCAGTTAAAGAAACTTTTTAACCAGTTGAAGAAACTCAAGCTCTTTTCACTTTCACCTAGGCCCATGGCCACCTCCCAGACAGCACTTTGGGGATTTGTGGTGTGTGGTCCTCAAGAGGTGGGATGTTGGGGACAGAGGATGCAAATGTCTAGTGCTGCACAGGGCAGTGAAGTACTCATTCTTCCTGTGTATGAAAAACTTGCTTATAAAGACCCTAGGAGCCATGAAACTAACTCAATTTTGCATAAAACAAAGCAATTTTTTTTGGCACACTTTTAATGTCTATTGAATTTTCCAGGAGGGAAGACAGTTTAAAAAATTTTTTTTTTGTTCAGAATATTGTCAAGAATTGTTCACAACTTCAAGAAATCACGTCCGACCTGCAGTGCGGGTCACGGGGCTTCTGCCAGAGGCGCAAGCATCTGTCCATTGTCAGTGTGGTCTCTCCCATTGTTTACATATTCAAATCGATGTTTTATTATAAATTACTCCCCCGCTTTTTTCCCACTATAGCTGTGGAATTATATGGATTCTGAAACTGCTCATAAGTAGGTACGCCTACCTATATTACCTATGCATTTATTTCATTGTGGGACGGTAAAGGGTGAGTTGTTACCAAACACGGTTAAGAAGGGGGTGCTTTGTCTGGCAGGGCAGGGGCCTCGGCCCTAATCACTGCAGGAGACAACAGTGACTTGGTTTCCTTCCCTTCCTTCCTCGGTTCACACCTTCAGACTTATCATGAGAGCTCTGCAGTGGTGGCGTGTGTGTCTTTCATGGAAAGCTATCTTGGAATTAGGACAGAATCAAGGAATAAAAAAGCCAGGAAACAAGCAGAAGTTTCCATCTGGCTTCTTAGTCCTGGCAGAAGTCAGAGAGCCAGAGAAAGGCTTTGGGTCCCGAACCTCAACCTCTCCCAACTCCTGAAGTGGCCCAAACTGTCTGTGTCAATCACTGATTTGTTCTCTCCGAGGGAATTTCCCAATGGCGAGGATGGGCAGAGTAGATGCGCTGCTTGCCACAGGACCCCTGCACGCTCCTTCCCCGCTGCCACCCGCCTCCACTTCTCCCACTCAACAATTCACACCTTCTGGGTTTCCCCCACCCCCGCGTAACCACCAGAATCAGAATCAGAATCAGTGACTGACACCACTCAAAGGGACTTCAAAGGTCTCCTCCAGTCCCAGGCATTCGAAGTAGCAAAATCTCTAACATGTATCCAGCTCTCAGTACCAAGTTCCTTAACCCTCACAAAATCCCATGAGGTAGGTACCATTATTATCCCCATTTTACAGATGAGGCAACTGAGGCACAGAGAGGTTAAGCCATTTGCCTGATGGCATCCATCAAGTCACTGGTGGAGCTGGGACTGAAATCCAGGTCGGCTGGTTTTAGAGCCCAGGATGTTTAATACCACTAGCCTCCAGGGTCTGAAAGTCTTTTCTAGTTCCACAGGCATCGGAACTCCCACTCAGGCCTCTTCCTGCCTCCAAGGACCACTGAGACTGGTGAGAGAATGGCTGTGAGAATGGTTTATAAAGTCAGCCTCCTGCGTCTCCCAGAGCCACAGTCCAGCCTCTGCCGTGCCTGTTCTAAGAGCATGTTGCTCACCGGGGCTTTGGAAACCCATCTCCCTCCCTGCAGGCCTTGCCAGGTGGGTGCAGGTCTGTGGGCATAAATGCCAGGAGGAAACCATTAGCAGCAGGATGGCCAGACAAGATCTCTTAATTCAGAGGATCATTATCTCTTCCCTTTCTACATCTCACCTCCCAGGAGAGGGGGTACAGTGCCACATTCCTGATGCCATGCTGGGCTCCCAAGACAGACCTCTACCTGCCTCCCAAGAGGCTGCAGCTATAGTGGGCCTCCCTCACAGTCTCTGCCACCTGGGCTGGCAGACCAGGCCACCGCTCCAGCAGAGCTGCATCCAAGCCAGCCACCACGGACCAGTGGCAACTCTCCACTAAGGGCTGGGGCTGGGGTTAAGTTGCAAAAGGCTTGAGAGATTGGGGATGACAAAAGGGGCTTGGAGACTAATTAGGAGCAGCAATGAAAGCTTAATTCATAAAAGCAAACATTTTCCATCCATCAACCTGCAACCAGTTAAGGGCAACGTTTGAAAGAAATCTGTGCATGGGGAAGGGAGCCAACAGGAACAGGAAATGTTTGAAAGAATGTAAACTATTTCAGTTTCATAAAAAGTAACAAGTAAACAGTTATTACATGCAAATAATGCCCTGGTTTTAATTAATGCTGAAAAGTCAAAATATGTTTGACATTTGTATGTATACATTGAACCAAGGTTGGAGAGGGAAAAAATGGTGCCCAGATGCCCATTTCCGAGCAGGGCTGGCGGCTCACAGGGAACTAAAATCTTGAAAAGGTCTTGTTTATTGGTGATGAAAAGTACAATTCTGCCTCGGCCTCCGTGGAGACTGGGAGCAGGGGGAACCCAGCTTACTTTCTTAACAAAGCTGGAGGGGCAGGCTGGTGCTTGGGAAGGGCACTCCCCAATTTTCAGCAGGCTGGTCTTAAAGGGCCAGCGAGCCCTCATTTCTCCATTTCTCCGGGGCAGGGTTTCTAGGGCTTCTCCACCCAGAAGTGATGATGGGTTTCAGGTCCCAACAGTTCCTTCTACTCAATAGCCCCTGGCAGCACCAAGGCGGTGTCTGGTCCTGCTTTCCTTCATACTGCCTGTGATCGATCAGATAGGTAGGGTGGCAAATGAGCCTTGATTCTGGAGTGGGCGATGGCAGCCTTCAAGCCTTGCTTTCCAATATTCAGCATCCTGTACTGCATTTGTTTCTTTTCTAAACCACCTGAAGGGCTGGGGAAACTGTGGCTTTAGGAGACCACAGCTGCGGAGAGGCAGCCTCAAAGTGTGGGGGAGATTCTGCCTCAGTGGGGAGAGTGGCTGGGGTGCTTGGGTCGCACAGACCAAGGATTTGCCCTCTAAACCGCCTGCCCAAAGGCCCTTTTTTGAGCTTGTTAATCTTTCCCCAGCATATTTTGTGAGACCAGGGCACTTAATCAGGGAAAAGAGAGACATGCCAGGTTTCAGGAGTTAGTAAACCCCAGAAACAGGAAGAAAATTGTGGGTTTTTTTCTGGCAAGAGACCCTAATTTTCCTCACATCTTTAAAAGGGTCTGTAGTATGCTACGGGGTTCCAAACCGCTGTTTCAGACAGCTGAGCAGGGAGACCTGTTTCTGGGGCTCCTATGAAGACCCCAAGGCTTCACTCTTAACTTCCTTCCCAACCCCCAGCTTTTGCCATTGCCGATGCGGTCTCCCGCGGTCTCCCTTAGGCTCACCTCGCCCACTGCGGCCCACGAAGCGAAGGTCGTTGAACCTGGCCACCTGGTTCTTCATGACGGCAGAGGCATTGCGCAGTTCAGCAGAGTAGTTCTCATCGTTGCCAGCCATCACAGTCACCACCGTTCCATCTGGCACATCCCCCAGCGCCACCACCTGAGGGCATGGGGTCAGGGGGACAGCTTAGAAAGGTAGGGGGAGGCAGGGGCAAGCGGGGAGAGGCCAGGGCTGGCAGCTCCCCTGGGTTTCAGGCGCACTGCGGATTTCTCAAATGCTGGGTGGAGAAGAGACCTAATAACAATAGAAAACTTCCCCCAAGTATAACAAAAACAAGATCCCTACCTCCTATACCCAAATCCTAGTTCAGCTGGTTAAGCCCTGTCTTGCAAAATTATCATTTCAATTCAATTAAATCTAAGTGAGAGCTGTGAATGAGCTCAGTCACTGTGATGTAGGGTGCAGTTCCCCTCTCCCCTTCGCTTGAGCAAAAGAGGAATCAACACGCTCCCAGCAACCAAGTCTCTAAGTAAAAATAATATCAACACCAAGAATAACGGACTGCTCCCCACACTCAATTAATGCAAGAGCCGTTTGGGGTATGAAATTTGGTCCTGAAATATGGCCCAGGCCCAGTTTATGAGCCTCTGCAGAGCTTGAATTCGTTATGCAGCGAAAACGCAAAATGCAAAACAAACTGGTGTTTTGAAAAGGTTTGTACATAAAACCCCTTTAAAGTGAAAGAAGGGTTTGGATAGCACGAAGATGCACCTGCTGGGAATTGCAGGATGGGTGTGCAGATGCCCCCTTAATATGGTCTCCCCCGCCCCCCACCCCAAGGAGCATGGAGAGGCAGATGCCTTTTGAAAAGGAATCAGACTGCAAACGCAGTCACAGCCATTTAAACGTGGCCACCGCGTGCAGGGACTAGGGATCCAGATGGTAAAAATTTCAAGGAGAAAATGTTTGGGGTCTGATTAAAAAGGCCAGATTTCCTGTCAACATCCTGTCTTCTTTTAATTTCAAAGATTCCTTTTAAGCTCCAAGTGACAGTAAAACCTCCGTTTTGAGGATTAAAGTCACACGGGCCTCCCCATCCCCCTCCTCCTCGGGAGATTTTCCCCACTGGTATTTTAAGATGTCACCCGGGAGACCTCAAAGAGCCACTCATCCTTTTTTCCAATTTGGAGTCGTCTTAATGGGAGCAAGGACGGCCTCAGCTGCCAGGAGCCGCTGTTTCCAGCCACCTCGGGCACCGCCACCCCCAGTCGCTGGCCCTTCCTGCCCTGCCCTTTCTCACGGCAGCTGTAAGAGGTTTAGGGGAAAACCAAGGCGTTTTCGTTTCATCTCGCTGCCCCCTTAAAATAATGAAAATGAAACAGTCGCCTACTCCCTGGCTAAGAGAAAAAGGTCCTCTGAATGACTGGGGGCTGTCAGGGGTGGCAGCGCCCCCAATCTCTGCCTGACATTTGGGATCCCGGCCACAACCATTTAGGGTACAGTGACCCCCATCCCGGCCCAGAGTTGCCCGGTGTAAAATTTCAGAAGCCAGGGTGTGAGCAGGAAGTGTTTGTGAAGCGGGGTGGCAGGGGCGCGGGCAGCGGAGGGTAGGCCCCATCCACCCTCCGCGCCCACCTCGGGGGTCTTCGCCCTCGTCCCAGGGCTCCTCTTCCCCCCCTTGCCCTTAGGGCTTTGTCCGAGGATCCAGGTTGGAGGGAAGCGAAGCCCCATCCGCCCGTTTCCGCATCAACGTTTTCCTGCAGGGCTCCCCGAAGGTGGAGGGGGCAAACCTCCTAAAAGTCACCCGTGCGGGGTGCACCCAAGAGGGAACTCCGAAGTCTCCAGGCGGAGTGCGGAGTGAGACTCCAAGGGCCGGTGGCCCAGGTGCCTGGCTCTCGCTGCAGAGTCGCGGGCACGTCCCCTCTCCTCCGTTCCCCCGGCCCTGGCTCCTGCAGCTGAGGGGCCCGGAGCCCCAGGGCCGGTGTCCTCCCACCCCGGGCCCCTTACTCACCTTGAAGGCGATGGGGAGCGTCTTGTTGCAGCGCCAATGCGAGGGCAGCACAGAGCAGAGGAAGTTGGGGCTGTCGGTGCGCACCAGCTCGCCCGCGTGGTCCGCCAGCACATCCACCATCGAGCGCACCTCGGGCCGGGTGCGCCCGCCGGGCCCCACGGCCGCCTGCGCGCTCAGCGCGCCGCTGTTCTCGCCCATCTTGCCACCGCCGCCGCCGCCGCCGCCGCCGCCGCAGGGGAAGGCCGTGGAGGGAGGTGTGAAGCGGCGGCTGGTGCTCGGGTCTACAGGAATACGCATAACAGCGGCCGTCAGGGCGCCGGGCGGGCGGCGGCGGCGCGGCTCCCCCGGGGGTGGCCGGCGCGGGCGCCTCCTCGGCCGCCGCTGCCGCGAGAAGCGGGAAAGCAGAAGCGGCCGGGTCGGGGCCTCAGGGCGCAGGGGGCGGCGCCGGGGGACGCTCCGCCGGAGCCTGGCCGCAGGGAGGACTCGCCGCCCCGACGACCGCGAGCAGCCTGCACGTTATTCCCGCATCCTGGGCAAGAGGCCCTTGTGCGGCCGCCCCTCGCGGCGGTCCGGGCTGCTTCGGCCCCGGCGGGGCCCGCGCGGACTGTGCCACCTCCGCCTCCCGCCCCCGCAGCCAGCTCGTGGCCGCCGCACCGACTACGCGGCCGCAGCCTCAGAACAAATCCTCGAGAATCAAGTGGCGGCGCCGTGGCCGCCCGCGCGGGGTTAGTACCCGGGGGCCCGCGAGGGCGGGGCCGGCCCGAGCGACGCGTCGCGCAGCCAATCCGCGCCCCCATCACGGGCACCTCGGCAGCGCTCGCGGGGGGAGGACCGGGGACCGCCGAAGGCCTCCCCACCCGGAGGGGCGGAAGGCCCCGCCTCGCGGAGGACGCCCGGGGTCGGGCGTCCTCGCAACAGCCCAGGACTCCTTGAGAGTTCTGAGGAGCTGGGGCCGAGGCTAAAAATGTGTTTAAAACGTCCAAGCCCTACAGGCTCATTTGCCGCCGTCTCCCTGGCCGCGCCTCCCCTTTTCTCCCCCTTCCCCGCTGCCTTCGGTCGGGCCTCCCCAGCTTCAGCTGCTTTGGGCCTATGCTGCCTGCACCCTCGGCTGGGGGCCGTCAGGGCGCCGGGGCCACAGGCGGGTGACATCTCTTGGGAAGCTGCCCAAAAGAGGCTTTTCACCACCCCGCCCTGCCCGCAAATTATTTTGACCCAAGAGCTTCCACCGCATGAGATAACGCGCGCACCAGCGGCCTCTGCAGCTCCCAGCCCTGCGCGGCTTTGGTCCCGGTTTCGGCGGCCCCGGGGACAGAGAGAAAGGTGTTCCCTACGGGCCCGCATCCGGCTTGGGGGAGACTAACCCGGTTCCTCTCCACTTTCCCCTCAAAACAACTGTCAGGGTCGCGCAGGCCTTCCTGCGTCGTTCTTCGTTGTGGCAGCCTGTGGCTCTTTGAAAAACACAATGGGGCCTGAAAAACGCGAGTGTTTTCCTCTGATTTCCCTCCCCGCACTTGTAACCACAGTCCTGCATCGTGGAAGAGAAGAAAACTGTGCGGAGAACGCGGGAATGGACGCAAAGCTAAGGGCCCTGGCTTCCCAAAGAGGGAATTTCCTTCCTCCACGTGGATGCAAACCGGCCTCGGCGGGTCCAAGCCCACGTCTTCCCCGGCGGTGCGCTCCGGCCGCGCCGCAGGGACTTAGACAGTTCTGCGGAGGCACTGTCTGCTCGCTGGCCCTGGGTCCTCGATCCCGCTCCCAGCCGCGCGGCCCAGCCACTCCCGGGGCTTCACGGCAAACAAACCCTGTTTCTCCCGCCTCCTAAGCCAGGAGAGCGGGCCTAGGGACAAGCTACAGCGGGGAGAGCTGGACAGATCAAGCTCCAGTCACTCTGGATTATCACCCCAGAAGCGCTCCCTGGAGTCTGGGGGAACGAATGCGTGCCGAGTTTCCCCGCCGTTTTGGAGATTGGACTGGATATTCGTTGTTCCCGTCCCTCGACAGGTGCAAAAGGACGAATTTCATGCCTCGGGAGCAAAGAAGCATAGGATCCGATGGTGGCCTCAAGATCCCGCCCTGGATCTGACCCCAGCCCAGTGCGCGCCATTTCCTCGTCGCCAAACGAAATCAAGCCCCGTGTGCGCTACAGAGCAGACGGACTCAGGCCCAAACTCGACCACTTGGAGAGCTGGTCCCTACCCCCCTCGGAGCCTCGGGTCAGCTCCTCAGGCCATTTCGAAAGCCTGGACGGCAAAGGCCCCTTACCGGACGGACCTTTTTATAGAGCCTACATCTCGGAGTTGCAGATCGCAGATGCCAAGGCCCGCGCGCTCTCGGGAGCGCTGGCATTAGTAGCAGAACCAGAAGAAAGCGAGGGACCCGGGCCTTGGTGCATCCGATCTCTGGGAGTTTCCCACCGCGTCGTAGCCAAGGTAGGGCCAGGGGCCAGGGAGGGCGGGCGACGCGTGCAGCTGTGGGGCCAGGACCTGCTGCATATGGGGTTTGTAAATTCGATTCCTCTAGTGGTTTCGGTTTGCACCCGTGCCCTTACTTGTCCCTCCGCCTGATTTCTGCCTCTCAACCGACGGCAGGTTTGCAAACGGGTTTCCTGAGAATAGGACTTCTGTGGGTCTCAGCACCTGGCATCGGTCCCGGTGCGGCTCCAGCTCCCGGGAGGGCGCCCGCTGAAGGTGGGCGCAGGAACCAGGGCACCCTGGTTGTTGGCGCTTGGGTCCCCAGCCGGAGGTCGCCGAGGCCGCGGGGGCCGGAGCAGTTCTGGGAGCCGCCACTAGTTGGCGCCTGCACTCTGCCAGCAGCGGAGTTGCTCCGCCAGGCCCTGCGCACACTCGTGCACCAGCTGCGGTCCCCGTGTCCAGGCGCGGCGGGTCACCTCCTAAGAACTGCCCTTTCTGGACAGACGTCCTGTCCTATTCCTCACCATCTGTGCGGCCACGTCTTGAACAAACCAATGGCTTTGTGTCAGACCGAAGGCTGCCCGCCCCGCCCCCGATGGACACTGACGCTTTGACACCTAACGCTTTCTGCATTCGCATCTCGGGCACTCGAGGGTCTCTGCGGCCTCCTACCCGCAGAACGTTCTCCCTGACAGAAATGCACAGTCCTTTCCTGTCCTGTTCTGGGAGACAGGGGATGAGGAGGATGCACAGAAGAACGGTCCCAATTTCGACCTATTCGTATGACCGACCTATTTCCCCAACCCGGACCAACAGTCCTAGCGTCATCTCTCTCTCTCTCTCTCTCTCTCTCTCTCTCTCTCTCTCTCTCTCTCTCTCTCTCTCTCTGCCGTTTGGAAGGACAGTTGGATAGTTCCCATTCCCCTACCTGGGACACGCGGATACCCCCTCCCTTCCCCATCTTGTATAGTCAGCCATCTTCTCTCCCTGTTCCACTAAACCGATGGACAAACATCCTGCTTTCTCTCAAATGGCTCCTACCTAAGAGCACCCCAAGCTGTCTGCAGCAGGGTGGGCCTACTTTGGCCCAGAGCTAGGTAAACAGAGACCCAGCCTGGGGCTTGCAGAGCTGGAGTTCTGGGGACCAGTTCTTCCGCCATTGTCCTTGAACCCTGGGAGAGGATCCATGGCGTTAGCATGACCCTGTGTCAGGGTGCCCTCCTACTGCCGCTGGAGGTTGTGTAGGAGTTTGCCGTACATGCTTTTCTGGTAGTTAGGTGCTGGCCAGAAAGCTTCCAAGGGCAGGTCTGGTTCCTGGAAAGTCCCCGTATCAGAGGAGGGTCGAAGATCCCCCAAGTGTGCCAGATAATGGACATATATATCCTGGAAAACCTTCTAAGAGATCCACTGGGTGTGGAAGGAGCTTAAGTCTGCAGTTCTACGGCCTGAATTTTTTCTTCTAACACCTACTGTCATCTAGGGCAAATCGCTTAAAGCCTCTTTGAGCCTCATCTGTGTCATCTGTAAAGTAGGGGTAATAATAGTGGCCTCTTCATAGAATCATGTGTAAAGTGCTTAGTGCAGTCCTGGCACATAGGGGGTGCTCCACCCATGTGAGCTGTCACTGTTGTTATACTGTAAAAATAAGGCCTGATCATTCTTTATCAGGTGGCCTTTGGCAAGTCCCCTCCCCTCTCTGGGCCACATACATTTCAGACTGTAAAGTATCCAATTCTCATGTTCAAAGCTTGCCAGGACTCAGAGCCTAGTTCATGGTGGTCCCGTCCCTCTTGGTTCACCTAGGAGCTGCCTGGAGGAAGTTAAGGACTGTCTGTGTCCTGGCTGTAGGTGGAGGCAGCTTGCAGGAGGGTTTCCAGCAACCATCACAGAGCTGCCTGTGGGTCTTGACAACTCACCTTCCTTAGGTTCTCAGACCCTCACTTTGGAAAACCACTGCCTCCCTCCTCCCCTCCCCCCACACTTTCCTAAGTAGGAACTGGCCTCAGCCAACACTGTCAACCACATTCTCCCTATCACCTCCCCAGGAGGCATCTGTTCCCTGTATCCCAAGTCTCATGGGAGCTCCAGTCCAGTGACTAGCACAGAGGACTGTCTTCGAGAAGCTAGTGATTTCTTCTAGTCTGGCCGCCACACCCCCACTCTGGACGGATACATGTCATCCTCCTGCCTGGTGCCCTGGAACTCAAAGTGGGACATTGCTGTCCCTCACTGAGCCTCAGTTTCCTCTTCTGTGAATAGACATCGTTCTAATTGCTCCATTACACAATCTGGAGGATTAAAGACTCCATCTAGGAGGGGAGGGGCCTTGTGTTTCACTGGCTCTAAAATGCTATTAATTGTTCTATGTGAAAGAAAAACAAAGAAAATACTGCTAATTAAACCAAGACTTGCCTACATCCTGGTTTCAGATAAATATATAATTATAAATTATATATTACATGTAATATATATGATAAGACAAGTTAGTGAGAAAGGGTCATGAAAACTGTTATATTTGAGGGGTTGTTGCCTGAAGGATTGGGGGCTCTCATCCCAGAGAATCCAGCTCTGGACCATCCTTCCTGGGCAGCTTCTGGAAGGTTCCAGAATATGCAGGCAGATAAGTGTGCTTCTCAGATTACAGAGGCTTTTTTTTGGAAAGGGCTAGACTTCTAGGAGAGGGAGGGGGAGCTTGGGAGAGTGCTGTGGTTAGGACACAGCTATTGGCTCTGCCATTGACTGGCTGTGCAACTTTTGCACCTCTCTGAGCCTTGGTCCGCTGACGGGCAGAATGGGAAGAACAGTGATGATCACATTTGCGGAGGTATTACCGTGTCCAGGCACTGTGTTTGGGCTTTAAGTGCATCATC